GTAAACCCGGGAGGCGGAGCTTGTAGTGAGCCGAGATCGCGCCACTGCGCTCCAGCCTGGGCGACAGAGTGAGACTACGTCTCAAGAAAATAAAAAATAAAAAATAAGTAAATAAATAAATAAATAAATAAATAAACTCCAAATTGAAAGCAAGAATTCCAAAGGGAAAGTATTGCAGTGGTTAAAAATTCATCAAGTACTTAGTCTTGGTAATGGAAATGTAGTGACTTCTCCCTTGCTTTTATTACAGGTGAGGAGATATCTTCTAAAAGTGAACTGGATGAATTGCAGGAAGAGGTGGCCAGGAGGGCGCAGGAACAGGAACTTCGAAGAAAACGGGAGAAAGAATTAGAGGCAGCGAAAGGGTTTAACCCTCATCCTAGCCGCTTCATGGATTTGGATGAACTGCAGAATCAGGGTAATTGCTGTGAGCATTAGGTTGTGGGTGATGGGGAAAGACAGAAAGGGTAGAAAAATACATCTAAGTTTGTAAGTTCCCTGTCTTCTCTTTAGCAAAATAATTTTTAAAATCTTAATTCACCCATTCCAGTGAGAACAAGTTAGAGTAGGATGTGACAAGACTATTAACTGGAGATAGGCCCTGATTTGGGGCACATCTATTAAATTTATTAGAGATAGTGTATTGTTCATGAATAATGTTTCCCATGAACATCTGTTGAAGGTGTAAATAAAACTAGCCTTGAGTCAGAAATAGCTGAAAATGGCAGTGAGCCACACTGACAGCGAGGGGAATTCTACTTGCTGGGAAGAAACATACCCATGAAATATTCCACCTGGAGCATCAGGGAAGTGGATCTGCCAAACAGGAGCAAGAACAAAGCCAGTTTACTTTTGATACCAAGACAATGGATTCTCTAACCTCAAACAATTTGCATGACTTGACTTCCACAACTGCCCCACGTTAGACTTTTTTTCTTCCTAGAATTTTTTTAGGATGTCACTTTGTACCAAAAGAGACTAACCTTCAAAATAGTTCAGCTGTGGAGCTTGCAGTGAGCCAAGATCATGCCACTGCACTCCAGCCTGGGCGACAGAGCAAGACTCCATCTCAAAAAAAAAAAAAAAATAGTTCAGCCAAGCTGAGATATCTACCTTAAATAGGCCATGAAACCTATATCTTAGTTTTTTTTTTCCCTATAAAATGACTTTATTATTTTTATAATTTGGAAACCCCACTTACAACAAATTGTGCTAAAGCAGTATAAAGGTCCAAGTTTGTAAGTGCAAGCTTTTAACTTTTTTGGCTGTTTTCTGTTGACCATGTTTCTCTTTTTATATACACTTAGAGAATCTTCTTGGGCCAAGTAATCCTGTTTGGGGGCAGCTTTTTTCCTTTAATACTACTCTCTTTTGATTCAAGGTAATTGTTGCCTCATATTTCCCAAGACATTGTATTCGTTTCCAAATTAGTTTTAAATTCCTAATACTTAGCTGTCTCTATATTTGGATAGTCTTTTTTCCCTTTTTGACCTCAAGCTATAATCACATTGGTGTCCCAGGTTTATTTTGCTTCTGAATAAAGGGGTCTTGTCATTTCTCTCCTTTCCTTTTTTTCTCTCTCTGCCAGTTGGGCAACAGATTAAAGTTAGGAGGAGATCCCACTGGCTATCTTTCATTGTCAATTTTCCATACACTGTGGTTCAGCATTTCCTGCATGAGCAAGGAATGGAATACTAAGATTCTGGAGGATAAGAATTAAAATTTAGTACAGTGATTGATCAACTGTAGCTTGTCTAGATCTCCGTAAAGTAGAGAACTTAAAAAAAATGGCTCTAGGCACTACCTCTGATTATAAAGGTTGTATACATTTAGTTGATTACAAATATTATGAGAGAACTTCAGGTCTGGGAAGTAAGGGAAACCACACCTCTAGAGATAGAGTGGATCCTGAGTGCCAAGTTCTTCAGAACCAACCTGCTGTTTCCATTGTCTTCCCATTGCTCTCAAAAAGTCATGATGAATTAGGAAGTGAATGTTAGGGATGTGGAAGAGCCTTTATTACCATGTCCAGCTGGAGGTAAGTGGAGGATGAGGGACATTATGGGAGAAGTAACTCAGACATTTTTTTTTCCCCCTGCAAGTTTGTGAAGGCTCACTGGCAATCCCATTTGTAGGTGAACTTATGTTACAGCTTGCTGCCAATTTATGATTATGAGTAAGTACAGGGCAAGGGATACATAAACATGAGAGTTCTTTTACAAAAATTTCTCTGCCTGTACTTCCTAGCCTTTTCATCTGGTATTGTTTTTAGACTCTTCTGCTCCTGCTTTGGCACACATTCACTTTGAGAGAAGGATGGAATATTCCCTGCTCGCTGTATGGGAAGTTGACTTCTTTGCGGGTAGTTTTGGTGAGGAATAGCATGATGAAAGTAAATACTTAGCAATGCTTATGAAAAGTATGTATATGCAAACCAGGAACGAAGGCCGTTCAACTGCCCTGGCAGATACATTGGATTAGCAAGTGTAGACCATCTGTGACTAAGAGGTGTACTGATTTTCCAGTTTAGGGTGGTGCATAAAGGACTGTGATTTGGTGAAGTAAATAAGTGGTATGGATGGTTGTCCACAGAATAATGAAGCTACCTTTGCCATAACTTAGCAGTGAAGGTCTCAGTCGACATCAAGGGTGTTCTGACACTAGTTGGCAAGAATTGCACTGGGAAAGAGCAGTTCACCTACCATAAGAACCTACCATTCTGCTATATGGAATACTTTGTTCTTTCCTTGAGGGACTTCCTAAGAGTCTTGGTGTTAGAATATGTGGCCATTAATGGCATGCCTCTCTTTCATGGCCTTGGTAACATCTCGGTTAAGGCAAAATGAATGTCCTGCTTGTTTCAGAGAATTCTTAATAGCAATGAACAGTTGGAATAAGGGTAGACCAGTGGCTCAGCAGCAAGGATCTCTGTGTACTGAAGGGAAACAACAGTACACAGGAAAAGTTGGAATGAATTGTAATGAAAATGAAAAGTGCTGGCCCTTTCAGGGAGGAGTGACGGCTTTGAGAGGTCCCTGCAAGAGGCAGAGTCAGTATTTGAAGAGTCACTGCATCTGGAACAGAAAGGAGACTGTGCTGCAGCTTTGGCTCTCTGTAATGAAGCTATCTGTAAGTAACTCTAACTGCTATGGCTATGGCACTTTTGACTAACTTCACAATAGGTATTATTAGTGTTGTCACTCAGACAACAGTTTTTGTGTCTCCTCACTCTTGCTCTCCCAAACTGAGGCCCGTTAGCTGTTTTTGCCCTTTAGATTTCTAAGTGTACCTGGCACTGGCACTGTGGCCTATGGATATTTACCAGAATAACCTCAGCAAGGAATCCATAGATGACTTCTCCAGTCATGCCTACCTTCTTATTCCAGGATAAAGTTAGACCTCAGATGTGAGATTAGTCTGCTTTTTTGCTAGTCACTGGCTAGTGAGTTGGAGCTTATAGAAGGAAAACTGAATAAATTGGCTATGACTTCCCAGGCCTGTGACTTTTTACTTCAATATTTGATTCTTTCCGATTCTCCCCTACCTTCATAGTGTGCAGCACCATAAGCTTACAGCAAGAGACTAAGGCTTAGAATTGGTATCGGCTTCTAGTATGTGACCCACAAGAAGCTGTGGTCTATAAAGAGAGATACAGGTTTGGATCTTATTTCTGCTGTTGGCCATTGGGAAGAGAGGGGTGAGAGTCGAGTGTGGAGACCAGAGTCAGACAGGTCAGTTGGACAAGAGTGGCAATCTCTAAGATGGAGGCACCGGTTTATCTTATTGATTGATTTATTTTAGTTTTGTTTTGTTTTTTAATTTGGATTAACCTGTTTGGCCTCCATGGCTTTCATCAATGTTCCTTATAGCCAGAGGCAGCTCTTTGCCCTGGACAGCATATGCATGGTCCGTGCCTTGCATTCCTGCTACATATTTTGAGTTTTACTGCATATCTTTGCTCATTTTTGTTCAATTTTATTCTTTTTATTTTTGTTTGTGTTTTGTGTTCTGTTTCTGCTATATTTTCTTTTGCATTTTAGCTAAACTAAGACTTGCCCTGCATGGTGCCAGCTGTAGCACGCACAGCAGAGCCCTAGTCGATAAGAAGTTGCAAATCAGTATTCGAAAAGCACGGAGCCTGCAGGATCGCATGCAGCAGCAGCAATCACCACAGCAGCCGTCGCAGCCCTCAGCCTGCCTCCCGTCACAGGCGGGGACTCTCCCTCAGCCAACAAGGTAGTGCTTGGGAACCATGTTAGTTTATGAACGCCAGGGGAAGAAGTGACCATGAGTACTCTATAGCAAGAGCTCTCATTGTCTTGCCGACTGAAGGGGAGAGAGGAGTCCTCTGAAAAGATTTTCTTCTTTCAGGTCAGACATACAGTGAAAAACTCATTGTACTGCTGGTCCTTTCCTTAAGAATTCCTAGGATGCAAAAGTACAGCATAATAAGACTATTTGTCCACATTTCCCATGGGTAACTTTAGCCCTGAACTTGTGTAATGCGATTATTATATTTGTATATATATATTATGTTCTTAGACATGGCAATCTAGGCTACATTTCATGTTGTAGTAGCTACCATGTGATTTATTTTGGGATTTCAATGCTTCCTATCCTTATGGAAGCTGAGAAAGCAGTCTTTCTTGCTCTGATTGCACCATAAAGAAGAGACACAATGATTCCCTTTGCTTTGCTTCTTTATGGTCAGGACTAGGAAAGAAGTTCCAGTAGTCATTGTTGTAGTTCTCTCATCTTAGCCCTTGAATTTGGCTTTTACTTAGAATAGATGAATTTAAATAAACATTAATTTGGACCATTAATAATTCTGAGTAGTTTTCAAAATATAAATTAATAAAAGCAGTTAACTTTTTTTTTTTTTTTGAGACAGGATCTTGCTTTTTCACCCAGGCTGGAGTGCAGTGGCACGATCATAGCTTACTGCAGCCTCAACCTCCTGGGCTCAATGTTCAAAAGGCAAATGTTCAAAAATAGTTAACTGCTAGGCATGGTAGCTCATGCCTGTAATCCTAGAATTTTGGGAGGCTGAGGAGGGCAGATTATTTGAGTCAAGGAGTTTGAGACCAGCCTGGGCAACATGGTAAAACCCTGTCTCTACAAAAAACAAAAAAAATTTAGCTGGGCATGGTGGTGCATACCTGTGGTCCCAGCTACGTGGGAGGCTGGGGTGGAAGAATTGGTTGAGCCCGGCAGGTCAAGGCTACAGTGAGCTGTGATGGTGCTGCCACGCTCCAGCCTGGGTGACTTTGAAAGACCTTGTCTCAAAAAAAAAAAAAAAAAATGCAGGTCTATTTGATGCTAAAGCACATGTCCTTAACCATTATGTATATTGCCTTTTATGATTAGGCTTCCCATATTAGTATATCTTACTCTCCATAATGTTATAAGGGTGACTGGGTGACTATACCCTCAAAAGTTTATAGTGTATTTTCATTTGAATTTAGGGGCTTGTTTTGAATATAAGCAATTTAGATAGGTAAACCCTTTCCAGAAAACATATACTTCCTGATGTATGTGAGTGATTGAGGCTTTATTTAAGTCCTTGTAACATTAAGTTTTTAAAATCAGAAATACAAAACAATTAGTGAGAAACCAACTAAATACAGTTAATCCCTACTCCTACTCCTAAATCTCAAGAGAGTCATATTGCTTTGGGGAAACATCTCAGTGACTAATAGAACAAAATCCAGATTTTAAAAACATATTTGAAATGGTTGATTTCTGTGTATTCCCATGAGCCCAAATCACCGTGTATTTAGTCAATGTGGCCTCATGGTTCCTTTGGCTGGGCTGCCTCTCAGGACTCCAGGTAGGACTTGCCTCCCTGTATAGCATCCTGGATTTTTGCTGTTTGGTATGAGTGATTTTCAGGCTTTGCTTACCTTCCATGTCATCTGCATGTGAGACTAGCTGATTTTGTTTCCTAATTTGCAAGTAGAATGTGATTGGAATGTGACTTCACAGGTAGTGAAGAATATTGGCAAGGGGTCCATTTAATGTTACTGTGCACCTTTAGTGAGGGCATTTAATAAAGAGGATTAATGTTACCTATTTACCTTGGTGTGAGCTGACCATGTGCCTTTTCTTTTGTGATCCTCTGAACTACTGACTCTACTTGTGCTTGTCTTTCTGTTTATTTTTACCATTCCCTGTGTGAATAGCTAGAAATGGGAATGGAATGAACAGTTCTTTCTGTAAGCGTTCCTGTCAGTCAAGGCAGCTTATGACTAGCTGTCTCCATTTGTTTCAGTGAACAGCCTATCCCGCTCCAAGTATTGTTAAGCCAAGAGGCCCAACTGGAACCCGGCACGGATACAGAGTTTGGGGCCAGTTCTTTCTTCCATTCACCTGCTTCCTGCCATGAGTCACACTCATCACTATCTCCAGTGTCATCTGCCCCACAGCACAGCTCCCCCAGTAGATCTGCCTTGAAGCTTCTGACTTCGGTTGAAGTAGACAACATTGAACCCTCTGCATTCCACAGGCAAGGTTTACCTAAAACACCAGGATGGACTGAGAAGAATTCTCATCATAGTTGGGAGCCATTGGATGCCCCAGAGGGTAAGCTGCAAGGCTCTAGGTGTGACAACAGCAGTTGCAGCAAGCTACCTCCACAAGAAGGAAGAGGCATTGCTCAAGAACAGCTATTCCAAGAAAAGAGGGACCCTGCTAATAACCCCTCCCTGGTGATGCCTGGAATAGCCACCTCTGAGAGGGGAGATGAACATAGCCTAGGCTGTAGTCCTTCAAATTCATCAGCTCAGCCCAGCCTTCCCCTGTATAGAACCTGCCACCCCATACTGCCTGTTGCTTCTTCATCTGTGCTTCGCTGTCCTGATCCTGTGCAGAAAACTAACCAATGCCTCCAAGGCCAAAGCCTCAAAACTTCATTGACTTTAAAAGTGGACAGAGGCAGTGAGGAGCCCTACAGGCCAGAGTTTCCCAGCACGAAGGGGCTTGTCCGTTCTCTGGCTGAGCAGTTCCAGAGGATGCAGGGTGTCTCCATGAGAGATAGGAGAGGTTTCAAGGATGTAAGTTTGTCAGGTAGTCTAAGGAAGAACTCTTCCCCTTCTGATTCTAAGCCTCCTTTCTCACAGGGTCAAGAGAAAGGCCACTGGCCATGGGCAAAGCAACAATCCTCTCTGGAGAGTGGGGACAAACCACTTTCCTGGGAAGAGTCCACTGAACATTCTTCTCTTGCCTTAAACTCTGGGCTGCCTAATGGTGAAACTTCTAGGGGAGGACAGCCCAGGTTGGCAGAGCCAGACATATACCAAGAGAAGCCGTTCCAAGTGAGAGATGCTAGGTCTAAGGATCTGGGCAGCAGTGCTGACTTGGGGACTTCCTTGCCTTTGGATTCCTGGGTGAATGTCACAAGGTTCTGTGATTCTCAGCCTAAACATGCAGCCTCTAGGCCAGGAATGAAGTCCTCCCCTCATGATTCCCATATGTGTGTAACCTATCCAGAGAGAAATCACATCCTTTTGCATCCACATTGGAACCAAGACACAGAGCAGGAGACCTCAGAATTGGAGTCTCTGTATCAGGCCAGTCTTCACGCTTCACAACTTGACTGTTCTGGATGGGGGCAGCAGGATACAGCCTGGCACCCACTTAGCCAAACAGGTAAGAATGCAAACAGGGGTTGGGGGGAGGAGGGAGGATCATATAAAAGCTGAAAGCAGGGAAAGATCAGAAGGGGGTATTCTATACAGATAGTATCCCCAGCTTAGTAGGAGGTAGTAGAACTTTCTACTTTACTCAGAAAGCCTCCATGACAAGAGCTAGACATTTTTCTGGCTAGAGTGGAGGAAGGGGCAGAATTATCACTCACAGGCAACTTCCCTCCTTCTAAAGTAAGAGATTACTAAGTATTTGCCCATGGCTTCTCCCGTATGCTGTGCTAAAGAATGGTTCAGGGCCGGGCGCGGTGGCTCACTCCTGTAATGCCAGCACTTTGGGAGGCCGAGGGCAGATCACTTGAGGTCAGGAGATCGAGACCACCCTGACCAACATGGTGAAACCCCGTCTCTACTAAAAATACAAACATTAGCTGGACGTGGTGGCACATACCTGTAATCCCAGCTACTTGGGAGGCTGAGGCACAAGAATGGCTTGAATTGGTGACGTGGAGGTTGCAGTGAACTGAGATTGCGCCACTGCACTTCAGCCTGGGTGGCAGAGTGAGACCCTGTCTCAAAAAGAAAAAAAAAAAAAAAAGCGTTTTAACCAGAAACTCTGTACCCATTGGCAAATCACTCTTTATCTCCTCCTTCTCTTCCCCCAACCCCAGGCAACTCATCTATTTTCTGTCTCTAGAGATTTGCCTGTTCTGGACATTTCATATAAATGGAATCATACAGTATGTGGTCTTTTGTGACCAGATTTTGACATAATTGTAGTTCCTAAAGTGTTATATAAACACTGCTCTTGACCTATATTCTGAATTTCATCGTACTTTGAACTTGAGCAGACATCATCTTATAGATATCTAAAAAATAAGAAATTACCTTTTGTTATGGGAAATTTCAAATATATTCAAAAGTAAAGAATAAGAGTAGGCCGGGCACAGTGACTCACACCGTAATCCCAGCACTTTGGGAGGCCAAAGCGGATGGATCACCTAAGGTCAGGAGTTGGAGACCAGCCTGGCCAACATGGCTCTACTGAAAATACAAAAAATTAGCTGGGCGTGGTGGTGGTGGACGCCTGTAATCCTAGCTACTCAGGAGGCTGAGGCAGGAGAATTGCTTGAACCTGGGAGACGGAGGTTGCAGTGAGCTGAGATTACACCATTGCACTACAACCTAGGCAACAAGAGCAAAACTCCATCTCAAAAAAAAAAAACAAAATAAATGTTATGATAACCCTCCAGGTACTTATAACCAGCTTCCATAGTGATTATCTTGCAGTTATCAACATATGGCAGTTATTTTATTTTATTTTATTATTTATTTTTTAGACGAGGTCTTGTTCTACCTCCCAGGCTGGAGTGCAGTGGCGCGATCTCGGCTCACTGCAACCTCTGCCTCCTGAGTTCAAGTGATTCTCCTGCCTCAGCCTCCCAAGTAGCTGGGACTACAGGTGTGCACCACCACGCCTGGCTAATTTTTGTATTTTTGGTAGAGATGGGGTTTCACCATATTATCCAGGATGGTCTCTATCTCATGACCTCGTCATCCGCCCACCTTGGCCTTCCAAAATGCTGGGAGTACAGGAGTGAGCCACTGCGCATATGGCCAGTTTTGATTTAGCTATACCTCCACCACTTTCCTTTCCCCTCTACATTATTTTATTTTATTTTATTTTATTTTTTGAGACAAGGTCTTGCTTTGTTGCCCAGGCTGGAATGCAGTGATGCCATCAGGGCCACTTCTGAGGTCCTCCCACCGCAGCCTCCTGAGTATCTGGGACCACAGGCACACACCACCACATCTGGCTAATTTTTTTGTGTGGTTTGGAGAGACAGGGTTTTGCCATGTTGCCCAGGTGGTCTCTACCTCCTGAGCTCAAGTAGTCCACCTGCCTCAGCCTCCCAAAGTGCTAGGATTACAGGCATGAGCTACCATGCCCAGCCTCCTCTAGATTATTTTAAAACAAATCTCTGAATCTCTGACATTATATTATTTCATTCATAAATAATTTAGCGTGTATCTCTCAGAAATAAACATTCTTTTTTTTTTTTTTTAATGAGATGGAGTCTCGCTCTGTCACCCAGGCTGGAATGCAGTGGCACGATCTCGACTCACTGCAGCCTCTGCCTCCTGAGTTCAAGTGATTCTCCTGCCTCAGCCTCCTGAGTAGCTGGGATTACAGGCGCACACCACTACGCCTGGCTAATTTTTTTTTTGTGTGTGTGTATATATATATACACACATATATATATATATATATTTTTTTTTAGTAGAGACAGGGTTTCACCATGTTTGCCAGGCTAGTCTTGAACTCCTGACCTCAGGTGATCCACCTGCCTTGGTCTCCCAAAGTGCTAGGATTACAAGCATGAGCTACCGCACCCGGCCAGATTCTTTTTTAAGAGACAAACCTGTAATATTATTATACCTAAAAAATTAACAATAATTTATTAATATAATACCTAGCCAATATTCCAGTTTTCTCAGTGGTCCCATAAATGTCTTTTTACAGTTGTTTTATTTCAAGTCAGGATTCAAACAAGACACACACATTGCTTTTTGATGGTAAGGCTCGTAAGTCTTTTTTTTTGTTGTTGTTGTTTTTGGTTTTGGGGTTTTTTGCCAGTATGATACCCTCTGTTTTTTCCCCTTCCATTTATTTGTTGAAGAAATTTGGTCATTGTCTTTTAACATTTCACACATTGTAGATTTTGCTGATTATAGTTTTAAGTCTTTAAGAAAAAAAAACTTGTTGTGGCCGGGTGCAGTGGCTCACGCCTGTAATCCCAGCACTTTGGGAGGCCAGGGCAGGCAAATCACGAGGTCAGTTCAAGACCGGCCTGGCCAACATGGTGAAACCCTGTCTCCAGTAAAAATATAAAAATTAGTTGGGCATGGTGGCACGCACCTGTAGTCCCAGCTACTCGGGAGGCTGAGGCAGGAGAATCACTTGAACCTGGGAGGCGGAGGTTGTGGTGAGCTGAGATCAGGCCACTACACTCCAGCCTGGGCAACAGAGGGAGACTCTGTCCCAAAAAAAACCACCATGTTCTTCTAGCCCTCATTTTTCCTGCAGCTTAGTACTTAGAGCTAGAGGCTCAATTAAAATCAGATACAAATTTTAAAAACAATAATATTTAATAGGAAGTTCTTTGTATTTCTTATGCCATATCAGCAAATACATAATGTCTGGTAGTCTTTCTTTTGTTATGATTGATCAGTGAGTAGACATCATCTTAACCCTATCTTTTATTTATTCTAGAAATTCCCTTACAAATGGCCACCTCTACCTCTGCTTAATTTTTTTTTTTTTTCCTGATGGATTCTCGCTCTATCACCTAGTCTGGAGTGCAGCAGTGCGATCTCAGCTCATTGCAACCTCTGCCTCCGAGTGATTCTCCTGCCTCAGCCTCCCGAGTAGCTGGGACTACAGGTGCACACCACTGCACCCAGCTAATTTCTGTATTTTTAGTAGAGACAGGGTTTCGCCATGTTGGCCCGGCTGCTCTTGAACTCCTGACCTCAGGTTATCCACCTGCCTCAGCCTCCCAAAGTGCTGGGATTACAGGTGTAAGCCATCGCACCCTGCCTTCTTTTAAAGGAATCAGATTCTACTCCCTTCAGGAGGTTCCAGTGGCTACCTTCTTGTCTAGGAGTCACACTTGATTAGAGGAACAGCCAATTCTAAACATTACTCTGTAATTCTTTTCTCTTTTTTTTGAGACAAAGTCTTACTCTGTCACCCAGGCTGGAGTACAGTGGCACGATCATGGCTCACTCCAGCTTCCACTTTCCAGGTTCAAATGATCCTCCTGCCTCAGGCTTCCAAATACAGATGTGCACCACCATACCTGGCTAATTTTTTAATGCTTTTTTTTCTTTCTTTTTTTAGAGATGGGGTCTCACTATGCTGCCTAGGCTGGTCTTGAATTTCTAGGCTCAAGTGATCCTACTGCCTCAGCCTTCCAAAGTGCTGGGATTACAGGCATGAGCTACCACAGCCGGCGATAGCTGTAATTTTTTTTTTTTTTTT